TTATTTGTTTGTACATTTATTTTTAATATCCTGAGTCCAATTAATGCTGTCTATACACACATGGGTGTGGAATCATCCACTGGGACATGGCCACCTCCCACAAGGACTTTTTCTTCTCCAGCAACCAGCAGCTGCCCATAGCTCTTCAACTAGGGATAGGACCTCAGTAGGCCCTCCCCTTACGTGCTGGAATTGTGTGCAGGTAACCATGCCACTGCTGCTGTGAGGTCACATTTGAGACTGGTCCTTTTCTCAGTCATCTTAGCAAGAACCTTCTGGCTTCTTTTGAGTGTAGTATATAACCAAATCTGCCTGAATAAAGGGTGCATGTGCGCGTGTGCATGTGCAGACACACACACATACACACACACACACACACACACACGAATTATAAGGTTGAGTGTGTCTATGGAAAGGCTTGTAATATCAGAGTGGCATGGCTAAGGAGAAAGGAATGAGAGAGATAACTTTATTCCTTTGGGAATTTTGGTTGGAGTCCAGTGGGAGAGCCAGACTGATCAGTTGTGTGGCTCTTGGGATGAGTCGACAAGGGGCCCCCCTGGGGGAGCGCTTTCCTGACCTGGTGGTGAGCAGGAGGGTAGGTTTGGAAGTGGCTTCCGAGGGAAAGGTCAGAGGGTTGGTGTCAAAGATGACTCTTGGCTTTCAAACTTGGATTAGGAAACACGAGGACAGGACGCTGCGTGGGTGAAAGCCGCTTCAGAATGGCGGAGGAGGAGAGGGGGAGATTTCAAAAGAATACCAGCAAAAGGCAGGCTACAGGCCGCAGTGAGGGGGCAGCAAAGACATTTCATTTTCCCTGTGACCAAATCTCCTTTTACTCATCACATCATGTGCTCCCTTCACCACAACTTCTGACTTCTGGAGTCACCACCTCCGGGGGCTGAGGTTGCGTCGCGCAGGATGTGGGCTAGGCCGTCAAGCCGGGACAAGCAAAATGCTGTCCCTTCTACAGCCAGGGCAAATAGAAAGTGGGGTGTCTGAGTGTGGGGTGGGGGACTAAACAAGAAAGGGCTAACAACAGATGACTCTGACACCTCTGTGATTAGATGCATTCACGAGCAAAATGGGCACAATATCCCGTGAGCTATGTCTCAGAGTCCCCGTGAGGATTGGGTGGAGCATTAATTTAGAAGGTTTAGAAGAACCGAGTACCTGATAAACAGGCAGTGTTAACTAGTACGTCGTTACCTAATGGCCTCCTCCAACTCTTGCTTGCTTTCCCCCTTCACCCCCAGACTTGGAGCACAAGTCTAGAAAATTTAATACACAAAGGAGAGATGTTTTCACTAAAGGGTGTGCTAATGTTCCATTTAGACTTCAGACAACTGTGTTTTGAGGCACTGTCTTCAGCCTGGGCTCCCCTGATGAGGGAGCCAGACACAGCCCTGCCCCCCATAGTCCAGACACTTTTCCCAGTTCTGGAGTATTGTTGGCTTTTCTCACATTATTTTTGTGTGACACATATTTTTATATTATTGTTTTATAATCCAGGTGTTTTCAGGAAACCTTTTTACATTAAGCTTTTGCTTAACATGCACAGACGATCATAATTTAAAAATTGCTCAGTATGAAAGGTTACAAACTAAAAAGTAAGTACTGTTTCCTTATTCTGAGGTTCCCTAGTGGCAGTCAGGAAGTCGATCTTACTCAATTTTTAAAGATGTCTCATTATGGAGAGATATATTTAGGCAAACACAAGCCTCATTTCTTGTCCAATGGGTAGAGAAGAAGGAAGAAAAAGAGGGTGTGGGAGGAGTCCGGGACTTTTAACCACAGAATTATGAAGGGTGAGTAGGAACATTAGCCCATAATGATACTACTGACATGGAAGGGGGAAAAAAGTGAGCCTGGATAAATGCAAGAAAACTTTATTGGAATCTACTATGTACAGAACATGTTAGTAACCAGCCAAATCCTAACAGTCTGCACAGGCAGGGGCGAGATGTATGAATGGAAACATTACAGCCTGAGCCTTACTAGCAGAACAGTCTACAACCCTCCAGGGCCCTTATATAGATTATAAAGAGCGATTTTTGCTGCTCGGTCTTCCCAAAGTCCTCCTTTGAAGGGCCAATCCGTGCCCGCTGGGACATCTGCAGACTAAGGTAGCCTCGGAGTGTTGTTGTTTCCTGCTTTTCCTAATTCCACTAACCCATGAGCTGAAAGAGTCCTAGACTTCCTCCCTCATGCCGTCATAGCGACTGCTTTTCTCCTAAACTCTGTGTCCAGCTGGATGAAACATGGAGATCAAGACACCTGTTGACCACCAAGACAATTGCTGTCTGCATCCATTGGGACATATCGTCCATCTCTGGCTTCTTGACTTGGCCAAGGATTGGGAGATCAGTCCATCCTTCTCTGAGAATTGTTGGTTGGACTCTATTGATTGCCCCTTGTTTTGAGTGTTTTACTGTCTTATCCTTGTACAGCTGTCTGCAGACCATCGCCAGCATTCCATTTTTCTCAAGAGGAGAAATAGGCCTCAGGGCTTCTAAAATGTCTTGTTTTCTTCAGTGCTGCCTGCAAAAGCTTGTTAATTGCTGCCTGATTAGGTGGATTCTCCCAGTGTCAGCAGCAGCCCAGATGGAAGTGGCTCCTGGATCCATCACTGTGTTTCTCCATCTCCCAGCATTGAGAATTCGGTGCTAACTCTTACCTGTGCATTACTTTGGTCATCGTATTCATTACTGATCCGGACAGAGGGGCAAGTGTTCCTTATAAGTGGCGGGCCTTTCTCTAGAGCATAGTAATTATGCTACTATAGTATATGCTCTTTTCTATTTTAAGATATTAACACGACCACATCAGACAACATCATCAAATACACCACTCCCATCCTGACTGAAGAGGTAGTTGTTCAGGCCCAAGGATACAGGATGGAGTGAGCCATCACTTTAGAATTCAAGACAGATAAAAAAAGCCAGTATTCCTACAACAAGGAGTTCCATATAAAAACACACTATGACAAATTAGGAGAGGGATCCGATCTAAAGTAGGAGAGGTTGATCCAAAGTATTATTTCCCATCAAGGAGCCATTTCAGTGCCCTAGACCTGAATGTGAACTGAGTCACACAAAGCAGACAGAGAATTAGTGTCTGCTTCTGCATAGGGGACAGAGCTGGCAGGGTAAGGAACTGTTTTTACCTAGAGGGAGTCGTAGAGCACCACCTACCCTAATAATTACATTATCTTGTCTTCTAGGAAATCAGAGAGGTTGCCCAAAAGCTTGGAAAGGAAAGGGGATGAGATATGCACACCATTCAGAATTTTGTTCTTTAATCAAGTGTAGTTCTCTGGTCATCTGAGGATGTTTTTGGATTGTGAACAATGCCGAACTTCTTACTTCAGGCACCAAGATTTTTATTCTGGGAAAACACAACAAAACAAAACAGAAAAGAGACTGGGTGAGATTTCACAACAGGACCACTTTCTTTCGGTAGATTTCAAACATGAGACATATGCAGGCGACCATTATAATGTCAATGGATAGAAACAAAGTATTGAAACAGAGGATGGGAAAGCAGAAGGGAGGAAAACTAGGCTACACTGTCAGCCAAGCTTCTACCTCAACAACTACCCTTCGATGTCCCCTGGCCCGGGTCCTTACCTTGCCGCTGTGCGGACACTTGATGCCTTCCTTCTGCACGCCCTTCCAGAACATTTCTGAACCCAGTCTTAGGGGGCCAGCAGCACCTCAATGACCTTGGCTCTCTACCACAAATTGCTGGAGTGAGTCTTGTTGCTAGTGCCTGGTCAGTTCTGAGCTCCATGTGGCCTCTGCATTCTGGGGTTACCGTAATTGTCTCTTCAACCAGGCTCTTTTTAAATTTTTTTTATTCATTTTACATACCAACCACAGATCCCACTCTCATCCCTCTTCCTGCTCCCCCCCACCACTCCCACCTCCCCATCCCTATCCCCTCCTCCAAAAGGATAAGGCCTCCCATGGGGAGTCAGCAAAGCCTCAAACAGGCTCTTTTATAGGAAACTTTGATCCCATGGCCAGGCACTCAGGGCCTTGGCATTCTTGAGCTCTCAGCTCCTCAATGGGCATGGAGGAACAGACAACCCAATTGTGTCATGTTATCAGAGGACTGGTCACCAGAAACTTTCAGGTGCTGGTGCTGGGTATTAGGGTCGGCAGCACAACAGTGCTCAGTCGTGACGGTGTCTGCCTTCTGTAGAGTTCAAGCAATAGTGTTTTCTAAGGTCATTTCAGAATAGAAAGCAAGGAGCCACATGATACTGTAGCAGGTGGACAAGATTAAGTTTAGGGAAAGGTTTTTTTTTTTTAAGAAAGGGCTGATGGAGACAAGAGCTGAAGAACGAGGGAGAAGAAATGGTAGAAGATGCTTCCAAGTGGTGGGTACAGCAGGCACAAAGGTACTGAGATGCTGAGACTGAAGAGAGCATGCTACTTTTGTTTGTCTGTTTGTTTGTTTTGTTTTTCGAGACAGGGTTTCTCTGTGTAGCTTTGGCACCTTTCCTGGAACTCACTCTGTAGCCCAGGCTGGCCTCAAACTCACAGAGATCTGCCTGCCTCTTGTCTCCTGCATGTGCTGGGATTAAAGGCGTGCACCACCCCCCCCACCCCACCCCTGGCCGGGAGCATGCTAGTTTTTGCCTGCTTCTTTATTTATTCATTCTGTATAGCAAAGAGGCTCACTAGTGCAGCCACTGTTAGGTGCTGAGGTTGCCATGGTGAATGAGATGTGGGCTATGTCTGCCCCATCACACCCTGTGCTTTGCTTAGTCCTTGACCTTGACTGACTCGGCATGTCCGCGGGACATTGCGGTGGATACTGCCCTCTGTTTACGGCCGCTTTCCTCCACGCGCTCCCTTGTCTTGCAGTCTTTCCTGTCCCCATTAGCTTTTTTGTGAGTCCCAGCATGCTTCAGGTTAAAGCCTGTGCAAGTTGCAGGCAGGCACTGGGGGATCAAACCTCCCTCCTTCAACAGTGCTGCCGCTGGGACTCACCTTTCTCCAATCTCTCACTCTCTTCACTCTCCATTTTGATTTCTGAAAGAGATCGAAAACAGTTTCAGAAGCTGCATCCCTCGTAAGCATGGAAAAGAGGGGACGTGAAGAGGCTTCAAAATCCTGGGTCTCGGAGAGGAATTATGACTAGGGGCTGGGAGGACTTCTTTGCATCCCCAAGGTAAAAGCCTTTTTTTGATGTTGGACATAATCCCACCCCCATGTAGCAGTATCCTCACTGAAATGAAGGGGTGTGGGGGTAACGCACTCAGTTTCACTGGTCTTTTAATGACCAGAGAAGAGTTTCTAAAATTTGAAATCTAAGTAGGTTCAGAAGGTGGATGAACGGCATTCAGTCCCAACGATGCTGATGTCTAGACGGTTAGCCGGATGGGGCTGCCAAGTAATACCACATGTGTATCGTTGCATGGACAGGCTAAAGTAGGAAATCTCCAGTCAGCTAGGTCTCCAAAGGCCCAATTACTCCCTGAATGGACTTACTGTTGATGCAATTTGGGGTTCAAATTTCTCCAAGTTGATGGATGGGTTGTTAGTAATGCCCTCCCACGAAGAGACTCATGGTTTGTTCTCCTGGACATCCATGGAAAACATAGGGACCACGCAACAATACCCTGATGGTTTTGTGACTCAGCCTGTCCTGGAGTCTTCCTGAACACTTCCGGTAACTTCTTTTTAGTGTGCGTGCGTGTGTGCGTATTTAAAAATGGCCATCTTCATGGAGGGATATCCATGGACAAGATTTATACTTTTTGAGTAGAAAGATTGTTAAGTTTCTTTTTTGAGATAGGGTCTTACTACATAGCCCAGGCTGGTCTCGAACTCAAGCCTCCTGCTCCCACCTCCTGAGTGCTAGGAATATAGTACTTTATCATCATACCTGGCTCCGCCTCTGTTCCTCATTTTCAAAATCATTCTGCCAGCTATGGATTATTTTTTATAGAGTCAGCCTTTTAATTTTTACTAATGAGTCCTCTAGCCATTTGATTGAGATTGCTTTGATGCACTGATCAATCTGGAGAAGGTAGTGACAATATTTTGTCTTCTAATCCTTGAACACAGTATTTGCTTCCATTTATTTAGGTCTATTTCAATTTCTACCCATAGTCATGTTGTATAGTTTTAGGTGTTGCATTTGTTTTGTGAAATGTCTTGCCGACACCTTATTATTACGTGATGGTCCTAGAAACTGTATTGAAACATTTTCTCAGTCTTTGTTTATTGTTGTCTATGGAATATAATGGACCTTGATTTTTTTTTGACCTTGCATTTCGAGACTTAGTTCCTCTTGCTTATTAGTTCTAGCAGCCTTTTAATAGTTTTAAAGGCTTTCTACAAACATGATCATGTTTTCTGCCTCAAAGATGGAGTTTTTTTGTCCTTTCTTTCCGGTCTGTAAGCCCTTCTCTTTTGAGTCTTTTCGCACTGGCTAAGACTTCCAGCACAATGCTGAAGAAAAGCAGTAACCATGGGCATTCTGGTCTCCTTCCCATCTTAGGGGAAGAACAGTTTGTCCTTTATCACTATGATGCTATCAGAATGGTTTTGGTAGACGTCCCTTGTGGGCTTGAGATATTCCCCTTGAATTCCTGGTTTTTGAACATTTTTCTTTCTCTTTTAAAATTATGAATGGGTGATAATTTCATCAAAAGCCTTTTCTGTATCCATTGACATGACCACATGGGGTTTCTTTCAGTCTATTTGTTAATGACTATCACTCCTTGGGTTTTGAATGTTCAACTCTCCTACCTTTCCGGAATATGCTCTATTTTATCACAGTGTAACATACTTGTAATATATTACTAGATTTTAATTTCTTATTTTGTTAAGATTGTTGGCATCAGTGTTCATATGGGATTCTTTTTAGGATTCTTTTCTTGGTTTGTTTTTCTAGTTTGGGGTACCAGGAATCTCCCTCCTTCAGAGTAGCCTGACTATTGACTACAGGCAGTAGCTGTGAGCAACCACAATGCCACCTTTTCTCAGCTCTTAGTTACAGTTGCATTTTTCTGTTGCTGATGCCCAACATCTTGAAATAATGGTTTCACTCTCATTTTGTCTGGTTTCCAGTTGTCTGTGGCAGGAAGCAATTCATGAAGCAGTTGGGAGGAAGCAGAAGTCATTTTTTCCCCCATACAATTTCAAGAGAGCTTTAGCTTTAGACAGGCTACTCACATTTCTTCATATTTTATAATCTTCCTTTGCTGAGATGCATTTTGGATTACAATCTGGAGTCTGACCTTTGCAGTTGGAGACAGCTACTCCTTTGAATATTTGAGAGCAGGCTCTCTGTCCTCCTTAGGCCTATTCTCAGGTTAAGCATTCTTGGTTTATTTGATGCCCTGGTTTCAATGTGGTCTAGCCCTAAGGTCCATGTGCTTGGAAGCACAATGTGGTGGCAAGGACAAACAGAGTAACCTTGTTGGAGGGAATTTGGTCATGGGAGCCACACTTGGGAGAATTAGTATGTACCCCTTGGGAGTGAGTTGGATCTCACTGGTGACTGGCACTGTATAAGCAGGTTGTTATATAAGAAGCCCAACTCCTTCCTTTGGTCTTTCTCCTGCACACATGTGCATCTACACACACTCCTCTTACATGTGTTCCCACCGCACTGTGCAATCTGCACGTCATGATGCAGTGTGATGTGACTGCCTGACCTTGAGCTTTTCAAACCATAAACCATGACAAACGTTTCCTTTAAGCATCCAGCCTTTGGTATCTTGTTATAGCAATGCAAAGGGACTGAGGCATTTGAGTGCTTTCTTATTCAAGTTTCCAGATACTTTCTAAATCGGATTAGATTTTATTACTGCCCCAAGTCCTCTCAAAAATCATGGTGCTTTATAGCTGGATATATTATCCCAGACAAATACAGAACACAAAGTAATCAAATGATCTTTTCATACCCATGACAAAGTCAGCACAGTTACAAGAAAGCCCCTGTTTAAAAATGAAAGCCGACAATGGGGAGACACCTCGTGTGACCCACACTTTTGGAATGGATGGTAACTTCAGTATTTTGAAGTGGAAACGGGGTTAGATCACCAACTTTCAGTTTTTAAACACTGTGGAGGTTCCTGTTTAAATGCTGGTGAAAAACCAGTCACTTTGGAAAAGACACTTGTCCTTGAAGGAATTATAACTAGCTAGGTATGGTAGCACACACCTTTAGTCTCAGCACTCAAGAGGCAGAGGTAAGCAGATCTCTGTGAGTTTAAGTCCAGCCTGATCTACACAGCAAGGCCTGTGCTAGCTAGAGCTACATAATGAGAACTTGTCTCAAAAAAAAAAATTGTGACTGTGAGAACCAAGACTCTTCTACCTTTGCTGTTGGGGGACAAACTGTAAAACCTGTTGGCTTTCTGAACACTATTATATCCATTTTTATATACAAACAAATCCTCAAATGGACAAACTGATAGGGTTACTTCAGATTGGATGAAAACAATAATTCAGAATTACACATTCTCCTGCCTTTTCTTTCTTATTAATTCGGGGGAGGGGCAGGGTAGAAATCACCTATGTAAATTTGATATTTCCTTCTTATTCATTTAAATGGCCTAAATAGGATAAATTTACGTAACTGAGACACAATAGACTTTGGCCAGAACTTTTAATGCCAAGTTAGTTACTTAGAAGACTGTCTCCTCTGAGAAGTAGATTAATGTCATGTTGGAAGGAGTCCCATTTGGGGATATACTCCTACTAGTTGTCAATGAGGATGGGTCAAAACTGCTCAAGTATCTGTCTGGTGGCAGAATTCAGTTCCTTGAGGTTGTAGAACTGAAATCCTCATTTCTTAGCTGGCTGGCTGTCAAGTGAGGACCCTTTCTAGCCTCTAGAAGTGATCCAAATTTCTTGGTTCATGGCTTTCTTTTCCCAATTTCAAAGCCAACAATGATGGACTGAGCTTTTCCCAAATCTCGTATACCTCCTCCATCTTCTAACGGAGCTCTCTAACCTAGCTGAGTAAATTTCTGTGGCTCACGTAAATTTTTTTTCTATAAAAGATAACCCATGGAGGGTCTGGAGTGGTGACTCAGTGGTTAAGAGCACTTGATGCTTTTCCAGAGGACCCCGATTCAGTTCCCAGCACCCACATGGCAGCTTACCTGTAACACTAGTTCCAGGGGAGATGGCACTCTCTTCTGGCTTCTAAGGGAATGAGGCAAGTATGTAGTACACATACACACATGTGTGCAAAATGCTCATACATATAAAATAAAAATAAATAAATCTTCTTTTCAAGATAATATAAAATTTTAGGTATAGGAAGTAGAAGTTTTGAAAGGGGCAGTATTTTACTTATTGCAGCCAAGACCAGAAGAATGCACAAAGCAAGGATCGTTACTACAGAACTCAAGTTCATGAGCATCTTGTAACCACAAGGTTTGATTTTCCATGGTATGTCCCTCTCCTGGGGATGTCAAGGATCCTTTCTTGGACCAAACTCATTGTCATGTATAACTGACCACACAACTTTTGCTATCAATACTTTTATCACATTCTTTTGGTGCTATCCTCTTCTGTTTGCTGCCTTTTGGTGACATAGTTTAATGTGACCATCTTACACACTCATTTAGCTTCTCTAAATCCCCTTCTGACTCCTTTCTTACATGTACATGTGTCATCCTTGACTTCCTTATCTAGTCTCAAATATTTCTGGTTGCTTTATGGGGAAAGAAACTTTCTTTTCTTTTTTACTCCATCTCTCCTTTGTTTCAGTTGCAAGTTGATCATTTCATTGTAAAAACAAACCCAGGAAACAGCTCATTCCCTTCTAGAAATTGCTTTTACTTCTATGGCTCATTCTCTTTCTAAGTGCTATTGGAGACTAAGCTTTCTAAGTGCTATTGGAGATTAAGCCCCCAAGGAAAGGCCGCTCACTAATCAAACGCCTAAATAAAGTCAGAAGTGATGCATATCCCAACAGATATTAGTTACACCACAACATGGAAGCACAAGAAATTTGGAAAAACAAGGTAACATGACTCCTCCAAACGACTACAACTCCTTAACTTGTGAGCACAAAGATATTGAAATGGCTAGGCAAATAATCGAAAAGTCTACTCATAAAAATGATTAATGACCTCAAAGAAGGCATAAACAAACAGATGATGTAAGGAAATCAACTCAGGATGTGACTGAGAAAGTCAACACAAACAGATTTTGAAGGAAAAAATGAACAGAAATGCTGGACATGAAAATCCAATAAATCAAATAAACAATCCTGCGGAAAGCCACTGTACTAGACAAGGCAGATAAGGCATAAGGAGGAACATCAGGGGCGTGGGAGATGGCTAAGTGTGTAAAAGTGTTTCCTGTGCAAGCACCAGGATCAGAGTTCAAATCCCTAGAAGCCATGTAAACCACAGATGTGCAGCAGGAGCGTCTGTAGCCCCGATGCTTCTGTGGGGTGATGGGAGCTGGAGATGGGAGACTCCCCAGAGGCTCATGGGCCAGCTAGCCAAGAGTACATGGTGGAAAAGCAACAAAGAGGTACTGTCTAGCCAGGCGGTGGTGGCTCAGGCCTTTAATCCCAGCACTTGGGAGGCAGAGGCAGGTGGATCTCTGTGAGTTTGAGGCCAGCCTGGTCTACATATTGAGTTTAACTGGCAATAGCAATAAACAAACAAAAAACAAACCAAACATCAACAAGCCTAGGAGAAAATCTAATTCAGAGGATGAAGGACCTCTAAAATGAGAACTTTAAAGCACTGAAGAAAAAAAGCAATGAAAAGAGATATTAGAAGAAGGATTTTCCATGCTTACATGTGGGCAGAAAAAAACATGAAAAATTGATGTATTACCAAAAACACTGTGCAGATTCAATTCAGTCTTACTAAAATTCCAATGACATTCTGCACGTAAATAGAGAAAACAATCATAAAATTAATATAGAAGCAAAGAAAGACCCCAAAATAGTTGAACCATATTACAATATCTGATCTCAAGTTGTACTGTCTAGCCACAGTTACAGAAACAGCATGATACAGGCACAAAGATAGACATGTAGCCCAGTGGGAGAGAACAGAGAGCTCAGAATTAGCCCCATAAATACAGCTGTTGGTGTCTATTTTTTTTTTTTACAAAGGTGCCAAAAATATATATTAGAGAAAAAGAGAAAAAAACGGTGCCTCGAGAACTAGATATCCACATACAGATGACCACAACTATAATCTCTATTTCTTACCTGGTAAAGAAAAATCTATTTAAAACGGGTGAAAACCTTAGTTAAGACAAACTGCCTTCTTTGATGCTTTGGAGGAAAACATAGGGGAAAACCGGAGCTAAGGCCCCGACAAGGACTTTTGGAGAAGGACTCCTCTAACTCGGGAAATAATAGCATGACGTGACAAATGGAACTGCACAGAACCCAAGGACTGCGGAACAGCGAGGCTGACAACAGAATGAGGAGATAGCCTACGTGACAGAGAAAATCTTCGCCACTGAACGTGTAACAGAAAATGCATATCTAAAACACAAAGAACCTCCTCTCTTGTTTTTGTTTTTGTTTTCCTTCAGGAGCACAGGTTTCATAGCCACCTGAACCAAGGAGGGGACCTTGGCCTCACCTGAACATTGTAAACACCTCCACTGAAAGAGAAAGGTGGCCAGAACAAAAGGGAGAGAGAGAGAGAGAGAGAGAGAGAGAGAGAGAGAGAGAGAGAGAGAGAGAGAAAGGGCAGGAGGTATAAACCAACAAGCCACTTCAGATATATAAGTCCCAGTGCAGAATAAAAGCAACACACACACACACACACACACACACACACACACACACACACACACATACATACACACACACATACATACACACATACACACACATATACACATACATACATCATACATACACACATACACACACCACACACATACACACACACATACATACACACATACACACACCACATACATACACACACACACACATACACACACACACCCCAAAAACAAAAAACAAAAACAAGACAGCATATCTTATCCACAACTTGCTAATCTCTCTATATGGTATGCCTCTAATGAAAACAGCCCGAAAGAACTTCCAGACAAAGGATTCCAATGATTATAGCTATGTTAGACAACACATAGCAGATGTGAATAAACTCCAGGAGAAACAAACCCCAAAGTTGAGTGAAATAAGGAAACTCATCAGAGAGGCCCAGAAGTATCCAAAACAGTACAGGCTATGGCTGTTGCTCATAGTTGCTATCAGAACTGGATGGTTTAAGACTCTACTGCTGAAGACACCACATACTTGAGTTGTAAGACACACAGAAATCCATTCTGAACTGCCCAGGAAACTGTCTCTCTGCCACATAGCTTCCATAGTGCTGGAAGGTGCTATGAAGGCTACTGGGGGAGAAAAGCCATCAATGGTCTTATCTAGTGCTGGTCCCTGCCTGCTACAACACCCACTTTCCAGACCAAATATGCCCACTAGCGCAAACGGTGGTAAGACTCTTTATGGAGATTACCAACTGATCTCTTGATTGGATTTGAGGTCTGCTCTACAGGAGGAAATTCATGCCTAGTACTGTAAACAGGATGAAGGAAATCACAGACCTTAGGGGAGAATCTATTGATGTTGTCCTTTTAAATGGCTATGTTATCAAACTGCCTTCTAAATATTTATATTGATATCCACAGATTTATGTTGCTCCCAACTTTGGCCAGAGACGTTTCTTATTGCAGCGGGTGGTGGTTAATGCAGAGACACATCATTGTTCAAAGTGCTGAGAATAAGTGACTTTGAATGTTCAGCCATCAATGAGACCTCTATATCCAAACCCAACCCCCAAGGCTCAGGGAACTTCACAGAAGATGGAGGAGAAAGAATGTAAGAGTCAGAGGATGGACAGCAGGGCTGTGAGATGCTGTCTTCTGAACATGACATGACTGTTGTACTCATGATCCCCCAGCAGCTGGGGTGACCTGCACAAGATTTGTGCAAGGTCAAGCCAATCAAAATTTTCATCATCGATTGATGAGGGAGGGGCTTGTGAGGCCCCAGCCCTACTTGAGAAGCTATTGGCAGTTGATGATTCCTTGGAGGGAGAGTCACTTGTTTTTAGGAGTATGGCAGTGGAAGGCTGTCTGTGCACCTGTGGATGACCCCATGCCTATGTGTACACGGGCAGCTCTAATTGGACTCAATGGGTTAAATAGGTAAATAAATTATAAAAGGGACAGACTTTGGGGGAGCTGATGGGAGGAGTTCTAGGAAAATTGAAGTTAGGGAATGAGGAGTGAATATGATCAGGAAACATTGTCTTTCATACATGTAGGGGATTTTCCAAAAAATAAATACAAATTTAAAAATATAACACAAAAGAAACCCCCAAAGTACCCAATTAATAAATAAATTGAATAGTCACTTCTCAAAGTATTAATGGCCAATAAATAAACACACACACACACACACACACACACACACACACACACACTTATGTAACATCCTTAGCCATTAAGGAGATACAAGTCAAAACTACAGTGAGATTCCATGGCACCTCAGTCAGAGAGGCTGTCATCAGGAAAACAAAGGACAGAAAGAGTGCAAGGAAAAAGAAGGTCTGCACACTGCTTGTGAAAATGCAAATTAGGGTGGCCACTACTTTGGAGGTTCCTCAAAAGGCTAAAAATAGAACTAACACGTGACACATCTACACTATTCCTGTGTATATAACCTAAGAACTCTAAGTCTGCACATCACAAAGATATCGACACATAAACCATGTTTATTATGTCACTATTCACAGTAGCCAAATACAGAACCATCAACAGATAAAAGAGTAAACATGAGTTATACACACACATATATATGTACTATAAAAACACTTTTCCTTTTCAGTATTGGAGACTGAACTTGGCTTGCATGTGCTATGTACCATTGCGCCGTCGGGCTGCCTCCTCGTCTGGTGTGCTCATTAAAAACAAACTTTAACTGGTTATCTTCAGACAGGACAAAGACACTTGTCACCTTTCTAAGAGATGCCAGGCTGTTCCTGCTTCCTCAGGCATTTTTTTACCAGGAGCAGCAGCAGAAATCCAAGGAAGACCGCAATAACGACAATGGCACCTGCAATCCAGGACGAAGTTTCCTTTTGACCACTTTGGGGCTCTGGAAGAACTAGAAATGGCAAATTTTCTGTCAGTAAGAAACTCATTTATGAAAGGCTTACATTTGCTGCCTGCCTGCCTACCTGTCTGCCTCCCTCCCTCCCTCTCTTTCTTTCCATCATCCCCTTGGGTTCTAGGGCCATAGGAAACTGAAATCAACAACAGGGGGCTTGGAAAGTCCCTGGGTGATGGTTCCTCCATCCACCATCATCTAGAAGTCAGTCTCTAGATCACCTCTCATCTGGGCAAAAAGAACATCCTCCTCATGGGCAGCTACTTTGACGTGTTCGGTTATTATTTCCACTGAGGTAGCCCAGGATTCCTCAGCTTGCTTTTTGGCATGCCTCCTCTGTTAGAAAACCTTTGATATTTCCTCCTTCTCTTGAAAATCCAATCCTCAAAGGCCAGAATTACTTCCTAGAAGAGGAGTGCCTAACTGCAGTCTGGGAAGTTGATGGGAAGTTGAGTGGCTCACTTTATAGACATTTAAAGGAATAGTTCTTTTATTTAATCCTAAATTATAGGAAAATTAGGGTAAAAATCTCCCATAGTTTAGCTACAATTTGTAAGCATGTTTTCTGTCCCTAGAATAATAAGGTAAAGAATTAAATAAATCATGGACCATATTTAATATCTTTTGAGTGTGTCCCTGTTTGTCTCACTTGAACCTATTTGGAATTTCTAATAGAGGAGGGTTATACTTTCTATTGGAAGACTTCCACTTTTTGATACTCAAAGAGATTCAGTAGCTAACCGATGTCTGATCAAGGCATAGATTAGGGACAGAGAGATACAAGCCCTTTTGCTTGTATCTAAGGTAGCTAGAGCTGAAGCTTTTCTGAAGGTGGTACCTGGGGAAGTTCTAATCTAGTTGACAAGTTGAGGTGATGAGTGTATGGTGTTGATCAGTCCCTGCTCATTTGTAGACAAGGGTGGCGCGGGGGTGGGGGTCATGATGTTGGTGGCTACATGACGGTGCTGAGCTTCAGGAACTACTTAGGGTGTCTTCTGTGTGGCTAGGAGATGTTGCAGTAGAAGCTACTGGGACAGCTGGGTAACTCCATCTTTCACTAAATTCTCAGTGACTGAGACATTTGAGTAAAAGGAAATGAGTACCAGGAGAGGGAGTGTGGGTTTAGTTGTAAAACTGGCTGTGTGCACTAGCCGTAGGGATGTTTCTAAGAGTATGTCCATAGGCCAAGTTACTGAGGGAGGCACCAGGAGCAAGGAGGAGGCAAAGTCAGGGGGATGCAGAAAGAGATGGATGGAGCGATGCCATCAGAAGGGGTAAATCATAGGGAGAGGGCTGGAGAAGGGGCCGTAGAAACAGAAGGCAGATGGCTGGGGGATGGGATTAGGTTCAGAATAAATGGGGGTCAAGTGGGTACAGGGTGCCTTTATTCTAGGAGGAATGGTTGCCTCTCAAAAGTTGAGTACAGGTGTAGATTAGCTCTCAACGGGACAGAACTGGCACTGAGTTTCAACTTTTTCTTTCATCAGCATGGAAGCCAGAAATGCATCAAGAATGTGCTACAAACACTCCTTCACTGGGTCTGCCTTGAACATACTTCCTGCTTCTTACTAGGTACAGCAGACTCTCATCTGCCGAGCATAGTTGCTACCTCACAGTTTTTCTGTGTGGAAAGTCACTGCAAATTTGAGGGCCTTTCATTTAGAACTCTGTCCCCTTTTTCACCATATTTACCGAGCCCAATAATCCATTTTACAGTATGATAAAACCCTAGTACCTTTAGGAAAGTTGACTTTCAAAGCTCTTGCCTGCCTCTGAATGCTCACACAGCTGATCATCAGCTTGTTTTAAATGTAGGCAATTGTTTCCACGAACTATAATTTAGACTTGAATTTCATCTTAAAAAATTCAGTTTATCATCTAAGTATGTCATAGAGTTCTTATTTTCCGGGAAGAAACTCAAGAATTAGAAGACATCTTTTACCTTTGAGTTTTCAGCCTTATAATCAACAATGCCTAGAACGATTCCATATGCACAATAAGTACTGTTGGGAGCCAGGTATAAACATAGTACATATGTATGTATGTGCATGTTATGCATTTTATTCAATTGACGGCTTCTTGCTAGGAGATATCGTCTATTTTCTGACTACAACACCTCATCATCCTCCATCCAAGAGTAGCTCCAAAGTCTGGGTCAGTTTCGGGGCTAAGACCATGTTTCTTCAAGTGTAGCCCAGATTCATAGACTCTTGGGCCTTGGATCATGCAGATGTAGCAGGAGCCTTCTATTTGGGTCCTTCCTACCGGCCTGCTGGCAGGTTTCCCCGCAAGCAGTGAACGTTGGATGGTTGGGCTAAAAGGTCTGCATGTAACTCCCAGTGAAGTAAGTAGTCTTGGGAAGCAGGCTTACCTACATAGTGAGGTCTGGAGACAATGTTCACAGACGCAGTTTCCAGAACACACAAGACAGTCACATTGAACACGTCTTCGGGGAACGGCATAGATAGGCTAACGGAAATGCTGAACAGTTCTGTGACATTGTCTTGCGATATCTGCATGTCCTCATCATGCTCATTAGTTGAGTTAGCTATCCAAAAATACATCTTTATAGGTTTTGGATAACCTTGCTTAGACGAGCAGGTCAAATTTATGCCAGAATGTCTTGTTATATTCGGAACCGACTCTATTTCAGGTTCACTGAAGTTAGCTGGAAGCAGAGTAGAGAGGGAAATGGTCAGTCTAAACGTAGATGTGTTTACAAAGGAGTGGTAAGTAGCTAACGGCAAATTCCCTGATTGGGGGACACCTGACATTCTCAAGGTGTAAAAAGTGTGGGTCTCAGCCCGTAGGGAAGGCTACATGATAAGCCTACATTTATCTATCAAGAAATTCACTTAACTCCTTATCTAAGTCAAGAGAGTGCTTTCTGACAGACAAGCTAGCTGAAATGGTCTCACCAAGGTCTGTAGTGAAGCAACTATTCCAGGAAGTGGAGTCTGGGTGGAAACCTGCTCTGACTATTGGGCCCACATTCCCACAGGGAAGCATTTCAACTCTCCACCCAGGGGGTGGAGCTAAAATTCCACCAGGAACTCACAGGGTTTACAGACCTTACATGCTCTGGGTCTCATCTTTAAGAACCTAAGAATAAGAACAAGAAGTGGGAGTCTTGTCTTTGTGTTTACAAACTCAGAATACTGTTTTTTGACACGATTAACATGGTCTCATCATCATGCATTATAACAGTGGTTCTCAACCTGTGGGTTGAGACCCCTTTGGGGATTGCACATCTGATATCCTGCATATCAGATACTTACATTATGATTCATAACAGTAGAAAAATCACAGTTATCAAGTAGTAATGAAATAACTTTTCATTATTGAAAAATTATGTGGGGTCATCACAACATGAGGGACTGTATTAAAGGGTCACATGAGGAAGGTTGAGAACCACTGTGCTCTAAGAATTCATCCATCTGGGGGCAAATTCTCTCACCTTTGTTTCCCACTTCGTTTTCAGGGCTGAAGTGCACTGGCCCATAGAACTTGGACCTGACAAATGTCCCTTGCTGTTCTTCTATAGCTACTAGGGTGTTTGCAGATTCTATATATTAATTGATAATTCAGTATGGGGCTGGAGAGATGGCTCAGCCATTAAAGGCTAGACTTATAACCAAAAAGTTAATGCAATGTATTGTTTCTAAAACGGAAGTCACAAACATGTCATCTTCTTTGAGTTTGGCAATATTAACAATGTTCCTTGACCATCCTGCTGATGCTTGCTGAGGGCTACCAGATTCTATTTAGCTTCATCAACAATGCCTTTGCAGTCGCGGGTTAAGTTGTAGCAGTAATACACATTATAACAAATAGACAACCAGTTTTAAAAGTTTGTCTGTGCCCCGCCTGAAACATACTGTTTCTCCAAAGGTGCCTGCCATGCACAGAGAACACTGACTTAGCACTTGGTTAAATGAAAGCCTGGTAGTCTTGTTTGAATCATGTTGCACTCAAGGGGAGTAGCACTCCATTCTATGGCTGTTTTTGCCTGTTCGATTGTGTGGTTTTAGAAAAAGTTCCTTCTAGGAGGAAAGGCTGCTTCTCCAAAGTTGTTGGTCTGCCTTTTCCAAGTTCATTAAGAACTCATCTGGATCCAGCAGTAGCATGTCTAGGTATCTACCCCAGAGAAATACAACTTAGGTCCACACAGAAGCTGACACTTGAATGTTTACAGCGACTCCATTTGTAACAGCTTTCCAACTGGCAACAACCCAGTGCCTTTCAGTGGTTGAATGGATAAAGAGTATAATGTAATTCATCAATTAAGAAAAAAATAACAACTTCCAAATTGTTGATACACTCAACTTAGGTGAAACACACGAGGCATTTTGCTGAATAAAAGAAGTCAGCCTTGAAGATTAAATACACGATTGGCTCTGTGTCTACAATATTCTTAAAATTGACAAAAATCTAAGATCCCAAAGCAAGAGCTATGGATGAAAAGAGAATGACTCCGAAAGGAACTATCCCCAAGGGAATTTTCCACTGTGATGGAAGCGCCCTGAATTTTATCTATACAGAGTCTACAAAATTAATAAAAATTTTGCACTTAAATGATAGATAGGTTTCCCTGTATGCTGGTTTCGAAAGTCTGTAGTGACATGCAGGCCTTCCTAAGCCCGGTGAAACAGAAGCTGGCTTATTGGTTTGTGGGTTCTGTTCAGTGGGTTGTTTCCCTTCTGTCTGCTGGGCTCATGGTTGGGGCAGCAAAAACTCAAACGATCTATGGAGAGTTGGAGGGAAAGTCTGAATCTGTTAGCTGCCACCCTTGGTAGGCCTTCCAGACCACAGGCTGTGTGTGTGCATGTGTGTGCCTTCATGTGGTGTTTGAGTGTGCGTGCGTGCGTGCATGTGTGTGTGTGTGTGTGTGTGTGTGTGTGTGTGCGTGCATGCTTGGGTGTGTGTTTTGTACACACGTGGAGGTAAATGTCAGATGCATTTCCTCAACCATCTCCATCTTCTGCCTTCCTGTCCAGTTCTTTCAAATTCCCAGCCTTAATGTTTCCCTGTTCATTTATAGTCTCATGTGAGCAGGCCAACTATCTGAACACAACATTGACCACATACCGGTCACTGACAGCTCCGTATCTGTCTGCTGGAGGATAACCGAACCTTTGGGTGTTTTCTCTTGTATGAAACAATCATATGAGCCCGTGTCCTTGATCTGAACATTGTGAAGTCGTAGAGTCCATTTATCTCCGTCAAAACTTGTGCGGCCCAGATACTTGTCAGCCACGCTGTCGAGTTTCTCTTTGCCCAAATAGTGCTCATACAGAACCGACTTTTTCTGGTCCTGCCAAAATATGACCAGCTCACTCAGGCTTCTATTTTGAGCCTTTGTAAATGGGCATGGCAGGTACGCAGTCCTATTGAAATAAGCTTGTCTCTTCAGGAGAGCAGCATCTAAAATAGAAAAACTGAGAATTAGGGAAGAGGAAACAGGAAGGAAGAAATTCCATTCCCCCAACACAACACCCAGCCTCCGGCTTTCCAGCGAGCGATGATCCTGGAGAGCCGAATGTTAAGATCTAGAACTGGACGTCCATGCTGGACATCTGGGTCAGACCCTTGTTCTTGCTCCACTGTTCCCTTGTGCAGACTACAACCTTTATGAGTCTCGGTTTTCTCACCTCCTTAAGGAAGTGGTCTGAAATAATGTTCTAGGATTCTTTCCAGCACTACGGTTCTGTGGATTTCTAAACCAGAGTATTGACCATCATCATGTGGTTATTATAGGCTTCCATAACTGCTATGCCACCACCCTAACCCCTCCCTGTCCCGTGCCATCCTCTTATTCTTTGGTTTGCTATTGTAAAAAAAAAAATGTAGTGACTCTTGGGAGATTGTGTGGTCAGAGTATTTAAGGAACATGAGTAGAATGTTGGGAGTGAACTGTAGGTGGGAAGGTGAGGAGGTGCTTTATCATATTGGAGAAACCCCAGAGAAACTGACTTGCTACTCCCAGGCTTCATTGCCTCTGCAAACTTTTATAACCCCAAAGGAGCATGCTGGCAAAGTTCGGAGATAGGACATTCTGGCATAAGCCAACTTGTAGGACCTTTTGCTGGGCCACAGAGCTCCTTGAGAGAGGAAAGTAAATAGAGGGAGCTGAGAGGTGAAAGGCGAGGTGAGTGGGTTGTTACTGGTTCATGCGAAGTTGGATGCTGCCATGGGGAGAAGATTGGAGAAGGTTCTGCATAAAGAGCCGTTCATCCTTCAGGATTTCAGGAAGGGAGGAAAGGGAGGATGAGAGGGGGTGGGAGATGAGATGAGTCGCACTCAAAGTGTTGGTGGTGCAGGAAAGCATAAATTGACCTCATCAGTGGGCCTCCCTTCAAACAGGACCTAAGTAGACTGGGAGCAAGAGAGTGTACTTGGCAGAGCTGAACTACTGCAGACCACCCCACGAGAACCTATGGCCAAGAGGTTGCCAGTGATCTCAGGGGGTACTCCACACACCAGTGAAGCATAGCATGCGTGTCTGGGCTGGAGGGAAGAGGGAAAACACTGGGTTCCCACAACAGTGAAAATGGGATCTAAGGACAATTTACTCCATCCGGCTTTCTGTTACACCTTTGGTAATCTCTTAAGTGAGAGGCAAGAGTGCCACCTACTGTAAATGTTCCCAGTGCTGTGACGGTTGGTGTGGGCAGGACTCTGGGGAGGGCAGGACACATTCTTGTTTAGGTCTAATTTGTTGTGTGATCCTGGGCAGATGATCTAATAGAGAAGGCGAACAGGCAGCTAAAGCGTTGACCAGCTATCGATTGGTGTGACATTACTGCTCAGCTGTCAGTCACATTTTCTCGAACTGAAAGTGAATTCACCCTGAGTTTCTTACATCTTCTTGACACCCAGGTTTTCTTTTCCTCTGTGGAGACTCACAGTACCTACTTTCCTTTCTATCCACTCTCTCTACTAACAGACAAGTGCAACGTCTCCTACCCAGGCCCCTTCTCGAAAAGATAACCGAGACTTCCTCTTCACCTCAGCTCCCTCTTTACCTGCAAATACAAAGCAGACCAAAGCCATTGGCCTCATCTGGGGGCTGGTCAGAAACTTAGACTCTCTGGTTCCAACCAAGATCTCAATCAGACTCTGCATTTTTACCAAGAACCCCTATTTGGAAAACTAAGGAGATCAGAGACAACGGCCTGGACACATTCATTTCTACCTTTTCCAAACCTCTCCTCCTCTCCATGGGGGTGGAAATCACTCTGTAGCCATTCTAAGTGGAACTGAAAGTATTTCACAGTCTACATGCTTTGGCTCATCCCCAGACCCGGGTTTTCTTGATGTCACTCTGAATCAGGAAGGTCCATGTTCTTAACTGTGACCATATGGGGAAGATGTGACACAAGGTCTGTTCTTTCCCCGTGGCTTCAGGCCTCCCCTGTTCTGGCCCCCAGAACTTGGGGCCTCTAAACAAGTGAATTCCCTGGGATTCCGTTGGTGGTGGAAAGCACAGAGGATCCCTCCCTCCTCTAACACTTGGGCAAGAGAAATGGTTTGATGATGTCAGGAGGCAGGCACATAGGAATTTAGCCATACATCTCCCCGACTGGGAATAGAGATCAAGAATACTAAAGGACTTCTGTAGGAAAACAAACATCTGAGTGCCACCTGGAGCCCATGGTCTGAGAACTCTGCGAGTCTACGACCCACCAGAGCATCAGTCTTCCCTGGTCATTACCCCAAACTCGGGCAATGCTTTAATCATCTCTTCCTCGTTTTACTATGCCATTATGCTCCAAGTTTCTTCTTCTTTTTGTGAACTTCCTCCAAAGCTTTTCTAGGCTTGCTGGAAGTCCTGTTCCATTGTACTAGACTCCATGATAGCTGAACATCTTCAATAAATATACATTTAAATGTTCTTTCCATGATATCTGGTTCTACTCAAAGGACTCTGTGTGGCCCCCAGACACTGCTGGCTTCATCAACAAGGACCTGGAGCAGCCCCTCTTCATTTAGAGGGATCTCTACTAGTCTATGTAACCTATCTCCCTGTTGCGAACCATTAATTATTAGTCACTACCTCGTCATTCAAGGAGGATTTTGGCATTATATTCAAGGCTGTTCTTTCTAACCAACTTTCAACATAACTGTCAAGATAATCTAACAGTTTATCCACCACCGAGTCTACCAGCAACCTTATATCAAAGCTGCTTGACTTCATCAGCCACAAAGACCAATTCAGAAGCCTTCTATCTTCCATGACATGATCCCAAGCAGAGTCACCTGAGGCTGAGGACCTCAGATCTTAGCCTCAAGACACTCATCTCTACCCATAACCCGTGATTCCTCCAGGTTTCACTCTTACTTTCTCTATATCTAGTCTTCAATTTCATTGAGACCTCAATCTTGTCCCCACACTGCATTATTTCCCCCAACGGATGCTTTGAGATGAGAAAATTCTTATGTGGTTTTGAATAATGTGGTTCTCGAATCCTTGATAATTGGTAAATGTGACTGAGAAACCGGATTATTTTTACAGTGCTGGAGAGAAAAATTGAATTTTTTCATCTCATTTAATTTCAATTCATTCAAGCTTAGTAAGTCACATATGGCTAGTGGCGAATACACTGAACAGCACAGAAATAATACAGCTTTTTAACCATTTCTCGCCAGTAAGGCCAGTAAATATGCCTCTTTGCCTTAGTAGAAGGCATACTGAAGAAACCACTTCGGGTCTACAGATCTGATCTTATAACCGGACGTATGAGCACTCTTAGAGGAAGTGATTCCATTGAACAGACAGGTAACATTTGAAATTTGTGATGTTCTATTTCTCAGAATGTGGCCTTCCATCTTACCACCCTGTCTCAAAATGATCCCTCTGCCCTTGCTTTTCATTTTAGTTAGAGTCCCCTAGTGAGCAGAAACAGCTCCCCGCTCTCCACTGCTCACCCCCATCTCTCCTGAGACTTTCCCGATAAGAGATGTTAACAGCTCCCACCAGGGCAGCCAAGTGCTCTTTCTGACCTCACCCCATCGGACCATACCATCCAAAGTCGCTCAGTTTTGACATCTTGTCTTCTTGGAATGAACTTCCTCGGTCTGACTCCCTGGTTCATGTGCTATTCTCACTGGGATTTATTCTGGATGCCCATTGGTTCAACCGCTAACAGAGTGATCCAATCTGTTATCGATTCAATGACCTAACAGATGCTTATCTGCAGTCCACAGCCTTCACTGGAGTCCCAGATACCATACCCAGTGGCCCTCTGGGTGCTTTCCTGTAGACCCTCTTCTGCCTCTTAAATCTTCCTCCCCTATCTCTAAGAGTGGCTCTCCTACTCACTGCCATCCCATCCATCACCTTTTGATTATCTGCAGGAAATGCCCAAGAAAGCAGCCACAGACATTGCCCCGGATACCCAGAGGTACTACAGCCAAGGGCAGTGAGTGACTATGAAGCAAAAAAAACGAGGACTATCAGAAAAAGAATCTGGGTTTGCCCGGAGACTTTGGGGACATTATCTTTTATGTTCCCCATTACAAGGCAAGGGTGGTCCATACAGGAAGGGTTTGTAAGTTTCATGTCCGTGACTAGAAAAATCAAACCAGGGTCACCGATGCTAGCCCTCCACACCACCAAATCCAAACCAGCTTGTTATCTGACCTTGCAAGAGATTCCGAGAATGAGACACCCAAACTTCCCAAACTGGCTGATCAGCACAACAGCGAGACTCCCTTAATGTATGCACCACACATCCTTACACGAAACAATAAGGTATTACCCAGTACAGACTGGTTTCTACTGTTCTGCCTCTACCTTACGGGAAAGTATCACTGAAATGACCAACCCCTTTTTTTGGTTTCTGCTTTTTTTTTTTCAGCCTTTCTCTCTCCATGAAACCAACCTCTTCTGCTCAGCCCTTGAGGGGTACTTTTTCTATTTCACAGGATGGAGTGATGTGTAATGCTAGAATTATCAAATAAAGCCTATTAAGATCTTCAAATTAGTGTGAAGTTGGCCTTTGATGCCACAAACATATTTGATACTGAGGGGGGGTCAAATTCCAGCTTATATTTAAAAAACAAAATTAAGGTTCCCTTGCTCAGAAAGAAAAAAATAAACCAGTCTCAACGTCCTGTTTGTTCGCAAAGGAGCTGGTCCACCAGGAAGGCCTTGCTCTTTCTTACCAATTTCCATATTACTCCTCAACAACTCCCCTCCTCATCCCGGATCTCTCTGGGATCCGCTAAAAATGAGTGACTAACTGGGGTAAGACATGCCCTACTGAGAAAGATCCCTGCATTTGAAAAGGCTGAGCAAAGCGACTCTTTGGGCACAATAGGTTTGAATTGTTGTTTACCCCAAGTACTTGTTTCAGTGACCAGTCAACAGCGGCAAGAAATAGGAGCCCAAGGCAAACACATAAATGCTATTTCATCCAGCCATCCAGGCCAGAACCTACAGAAATCTGGGGGCAGACGGTGGGCTTTTTCCACAGAGCACGGAATCAGTCTGAGCTGTGTTGTACACATCAAGTAAGGAAGACTGGACCACTGCAGGGTTGTTGAGTCAGATGCTGTTGGGGTGACAAGAGAATTCCAGAACCTGGAGAACCCTCAGACAAAAGGAGAACAACAGTCAAGGGTCCAACCGGACCAGGCACGGTGCAGGCACCTGCGGCCATAGCCACCTGAAGGCCGGGCTGGAGGCTCCCTGGAGGGAAGGGACAGTGGGAAGGCTCAGAAGGTGGCTGCGCATGTCTGGTATCCTGAGCTTGACCCCCAGAACCCACATAAAGGTGGAAAAAGAGAAGCCATACCACAAGGTTGTCCTTTGCTGCCACACCAATTAATTAGGGGCAGCAACAAAGGTATCTAATTTCTAGGCAGAGAGAAGATGTGGAAGGTGTGGGAAGAGGGACAGAATTGTTTTGCTCTGTGTCTTATCTATCTTCATAAATTACCCAACTTTGCACCCCCCCACCACCACCCCCGTGGATTATTAGTGCCGATTTCATCTCGTTTCTCTCTTGGGATGTCTGACCCGTGATAGGTCTCTACTCCCTAGCTCAGGGAGCAGAGGTATGCCCTAAAAGGAGAGACAGACTAATTTCGAATAGGTTTTTTCTACATTAATTATGGCTGGCTTTTAATTTAACGACACATTCTAAACCCGTTTAGTGCTGTGCATATGCACGTGTATGTGGGTCACCCACTGGAGCCATAGATATCAATGTCCCCCCCCTAAGAATAGTGACTCTCTCAGTGGCCATCAACTCCCGTTAGCTCTTCAGCTAGGGGTGGGGCTGAGCTCCTCCCTGCTCCTTGCCGGAACTTTTAACTTTCTTGATCTTGTGGTTGTCTTGTGCAGATGACCACGGCTTCTGCCAATCCACATGTCTAGCAGCTGCGTCATGTCCAGAGACCAGCGGTTCACAACTCTCCTCTCTTACATTCTTCCCACCTCTCCGCTCTCTGGCTGTACTCAACGAGCCTTGGGGACTAGGGTTGTCGATGCAACTGTCCCATGGACGCATAGTCAAAGTTGAGAGGGAGACGGAGGTATTTTAGGGGGGCTCAGGGAAGGAGTGGGGTGGATATGACCAAGACACACTGTGTACATGTTTGCAATTTTCAAAAACATTTAAAAAAAGAAGTACACTTATAAATGATTAACACAGTGAAAAAAAATGAAAGGTTGGAAAACGGATTGCAACTATCTTGTCATTACTTTTAGTGATGAGTGAAATACTGGCGAGTTTGTTTTCTAATGGTTGATGCTGTTTTCCTACCTTCTTTAAATCTGTTCTTCCCTAACATATATCTTCTTCGCATACATCCCCTCACTACCACGAAGCACAATCAGTTAACATTCAAGAGTTTTTCTTTTCTTTTTTTTTTCTTCTTATGGTTTCAACATCATCACCTTCCTTTTCAGGAGCTAGGAGTTTCCACAGTTTCAAAGCAGGTCAAAAGCAAAGTAACACCTGCCCTTGGTTTTGGTGGGTTTCTCAACTTTGCTTGCTCACTTTCAAAGGGCAGAGCCAGGAAGTCTGGGGACAGGGAAGGTGTCTCCATTAAGTTGATACTGAATATTTGCTTCCAGGACGTTTCTTTCCCAGACCCTAAAAGCTAGGCTTGCCACCATGACAGGCAGGGCTAAGATCTAAGCCACAAGGCCATCTGAGGTATGGTTCAAGACAAGAGGAGGATGGGAAGGAGGCGACTTGCGAGCAAGAAAGGACTAAGTTGAAGCAGTATCCTCCACCAAAGCTATTTGAGTCACCAAGAAACAGAGCCGGTGCCTCAGGAGCAGGAGTTGGGAGAAACAGCCTGACGTCACACGTCAGTGACGTTCAACCTGCACCACTGGGTATGCATCTGGACTCTCCCATTAGGAGCTGAGTTGCTCTTCAGTCAATTACTTAAGCTTCTCTGCACTTTAGGGACCTTGTCTTAAAATGGGGAAGAATGACAAGGTCTAATGAGACAAGTCATTGGGATTTTTAAATGAATTGCTATTTACAAAGTGCTCAGAGAAGTACCTGAACACATACACACACACACACACACACACACACACACACACACACACACACACACACACACACAGACATATATGAATGTACACACACACACAGAGAGAGAGAGAGAGATATGAGCACCTGTGCGCACACTCACACATGTATACACATGCACAGTCTATCTTTACCTCCCCCACCTCTGATATCATTGCCTTTCTACCTCCCCAGGAACTGAGACTCCAGGTCATCGGCCCTGGCGGGTGAAAGCTGCTCTTCTCGCCCACACTGCTGCTGATGGGTGGATAGGTGAGCATCTGTAGATTTCACCCTGGTAGCCTTGGCAAGCTTTGGTGCTAAGCAGAAAACACAAATCACAAAAGGCCTGTCTCCACCCGCTGAGGTCTGAAAGAATACCTCTCCACAGTGCCCAGCTCCTCCTTACCCAGCCAGGGCTGGGAACAGTGGCCAAGGGCCTGTTGTGTGACCATAATGGAGGAGGTGGTTTTGTGGTTGAACTGGTTAGTCAGAGGCCAGGTGGTCAGGGGTGGCCTGCAGATGCTTCTGGCACACCGCCAGCTCAGCTACCCTGCCTGCTTGTCACCAAGGCTGAGGTGGCTTCTCTGACAGCTGAGGTGGAGAAATGAGTAACAGGAAAGGGTGGGCCAGCAGAAATAAAGCAGTGTTCAGTTGCAGGATTCACGGTAGGGCCTCCAGCCAGCTGCTTAGAGAGGCATCCCAGAGAAGAGCAATGGACTGGGAGAGGCTGAGTTCTGGGAAGCCTTACAAATCTAAACTTTGGGGCACTATTAAGAAAAAGATCAGCCGGGCGGTGGTGGCGCACGCCTTTAATCCCAGCACTCGGGAGGCAGAGGCAGGCGGATCTCTGTGAGTTCGAGGCCAGCCTGGTCTACAGCGCGAGATCCAGGAAAGGCGCAAAGCTACACAGAGAAACCCTGTCTCGAAAAACCAAAAAAAAAAAAAAAAAAAAAAAAAAAAGAAAAAGATCACACAATTCAAACGCAAAAATGTCACCCAGCAGGAGGAGACTGGATGGGGGAACATCATTCGTGTGTGTGTGTGTGTGTGTGTGTGTGTGTGTGTGTGTGAATCTTAATTAATTGTGGTTATCTAATCCATATCTTACTAGGTCACAAGACATCCATTGTAGTGCTAGGGGCCTCCTGGGGTCTTTATAGGTTCAGAAAGGGGGAATCTGTGCAAGGGGAACCTGTAGCATCAGCTTCCTTGGCTTCAAGATACATTGGCTGGCATGATTAATTGGAGGTCCAGAGTCACAGGTCTAACGTTTGAACTAGGGCACAGGTGAAGGAAGAAGGGTGTGGGCAGGAATCAGTGCTGCAAGAAGCTTTGGGAAGCCCACCAGCTGTTTCCCAAGGGCCTGAGAATACTGGAAATGAGGGCAGGAAAGACCAGAGCGTGTATGTGTGGAGCCAAGTCAGAGGTTTCTCTGCAGTGGCCTTCTGTAGCCCTTCAGAAGCCTTGGATGGGACACTCCACCTTGTGCTGTGTGTCTGGATCCTGGGAGTTTGATGGAAGAGCAGGGAGATGTCCAGACTACACCTGGTCTTGGTCCTGACCCTTCCTTGGTCTCTAGGAAAGTTATTTGCTATGGAGTCTAAGGCAACTCGAATCAATCCTGAGCAAACCCCACCAACTCTCAAGCCTGGGCTTGCAGTGGTTCAACTCCCTGAGGGACAGCAGAAGGACTCCAAGACTTTACACAGGAAAAAAGGTTCTTACCTGAGAGCACGAAGACCATTACAAAGAGGATTCCCAATCCCATGGTGCTAGAGTGTAAAAAGACAAGATAAAACGTAGTTAGAAAGTGAAATTGAAAACATTTGTTCCCCAAAACACGACCTGGAAATGGTATTTGGAATTCATGTGGGTCCCAGGGGTGGCAGAGTCAATGCATACATTCACTGAGGCCATTTTTTTCCCCCTTAGCTCCACACACAGGCTGTATTACCCAGCCTCCTCTGCAGTGAGGCAGGTCAAGCAACTGAGCTCTGACCAGTGGAACTGTGGGCAGAAAAGATGGCTGCTAATTCCAAACATGGTAACAGAGGCCGCCTTCCTCCTCCCTCCTCTCTCCTCTTCCTTCCTAGACTCAGGAAATTCCAAGGAAAAGTCCAAAGGTAGATAAGATGGCCAAGTCTCACAAAGGCAGAGACCTGGTTTCCAGAATGAAGTAGTAAAACAGTGATCTCTATCCCTCCACACCCTCCCCACAACTGATCTGGACTGTGGCCTTAGCAGGAGGCATTTCATGTCAGTGGAGGAGGCTCGGGGACACTCTGCAGCAGAGCACAGCGTTCTTTTTTCTCCAGCAGCGCTGGGGGTGCGAGGGAACACAGTCATTTGAGTAAAATCAAACTGCCTTTGATTTTTCCTGTGGTTTTCAAACTTCAGTGTGCACACAAGTCACCCGGAGAGCATGGGAAACACTTCCCTGGGCTGGGCACAGAGAATTTCACAAGAGGTTGAGATGAATCTTTTGTCTAACAATCCCCAGGGCCACACTTTGAGAATAACTGCCCCACCTACCCACTTCGTCTGCAACATGATCCAAAGAAAGCGTCACACAGGGCTTTACAATCTCTAGCCTTCCCTTCCTCTATTTTCTCTGTGTTTCTCCACTCACCCACTCACCGTAGACCCCAGTGACCATGGGGCTTAGTGGAAACACAGGGTAAGGGCCAACATCAGAAGATGGTGGAAAAAGAAACCAATTACAGCAGTTTGGAGCAGATCCCAAGACAAGGCCAATGCTAAAGACTTACCATGGAAATATGCCACCTTGTGTTGGGTGGCACACAAGTTTGGCTTGTAGCTTTTTAACGGCCCATGTGAGAAGGAAAACCTAGCAGGTGGATTAATACCCGGCTTTGCACATGAAAGGAAACGAGTGCTTAGGGAAGACACACTATTATTTACTGGATAGCAAAAATTTCTTCCTTGGAAGGTGGATTGTCTAAAGCTGTTCTCCACCCTTCAGGTGGTATATGTGGACACTCCCTCTGCTCTTACAGTGCTTAGCACAGAGCAATGGGCTAAAGCGTGTTTGTGTGTGTGTTTCAATCCTTCTAGACTGCAGTGTTTTAATTAAGAATTTTTAGAGATTATACCTGCACATAACACAAAAATTTAAAAGGCCGGGCGGTGGTGGCGCATGCCTTTAATCCCAGCACTCGGGAGGCAGAGGCAGGCGGATCTCTGTGAGTTCGAGGCCAGCCTGGGCTACAGAGTGAGTTCCAGGAAAGGCGCAAAGCTTCACAGAGAAACCCTGTCTCGAAAAACAAAACAAAACAAAATTTAAAAGTAAAGATGAGTGGACTTGTGGCTGTGGAGCCCCCATGGGACTGGACTAGGCCCTCTGGACACGGAAGATGGTTGTTTGGCTTGAACTGTTTGGGGGGTACCCAGGCAGGGGAATCGGGATTGGTACCTGGTCTATGGGCAGGCTTCTGGAATCCGGGGCCTGTGGTGTGACACCTTGCACAGCCTTGGTGCAGTGGGAAGGGGCTTGGACCTGCCTAGGCTCAGTGTACTGGGCTCTGCTGACTCCCCACGGGAGACCTCGATTTGGGGGACGTGGGGATGCGGGGTGGCTTGGGAAAGAGGGCTGAGGGGTAGGAGGAGGGAGGAGAGGGAGGTCTGTGGATAACATGTGGAGTGAGTAGAAGATTTCTTAATAAAGAAAAATGAAAAAAAAGAGAAAAGAAAAGAAAATTAAGGCACAGAACTTCCCACAGTGAAGAAAAAAATGGCATAGAAATTACTTCCTTTCTTATGAACTTAAAATTCATATGTCACATGAGCCATCTCAAAGACAATATGCAAAAACTTGAACTGTTATTTATGTGGAAAATATCATGTAAAATTTATTTATAAATGACTATTGCACACCTAATAAATATTTATCTCAATAAAAAAAGTAAAGATGATTCTTGGACACGGTAATCCATGCATTTAATCCCAGCACTTGGGAGTCGGAAGTAGATATCCACCTATCTCAGCAAGCCCTAGGCCAGGGTGGTCTAAATGGTGAGTTTTAGGCCAATAGGGGTCCATAGTGAGACCTTGTCTTTTTTTTTTTTTTTTTTTTTAAGTAGAGGTGATGTATTTAGTTAATTCTCTTGTTGTACAACAACAAATCTGATAAAAAGCCCACAGTTTTGGGGCACAGTCCATCATAGCAGGGAGGGCATGGGGGTGCGAGCTTGAGGCCCCTGGTCACATTGGACCCTCTGTCAGGAAGCCGAGAGAGGCTGGTATTCATGCTGCCTTGTCCTCCCTATTCAGTCCAAGACTCCAGCCCATGGAATGGTACAGCCTACATTTAAGATGGGGTGCCCTACTTTAATTAGCCCAGTCAGAATACTCACTCACAGACATACTCAGACATGTCTCCTAGGGGACTCTAGATCCTGTCAAGTCGTCAGCCGTTATTAGCTATCACGGCGACAAACGGTAGAAAGTAAGTCTCTCTCTCTCTCAGCTCTGGTCCCTGGCCATCTAACTTTCTTCCAAAGATGTGCCTGGAATGACCAATATTACCTGTTACCAGTTTCTTGCCTTTGCTTAGGTTTATTTTAGACACACACAAAAATAATAATAACAACACAGATCCATATGTATTCTTATTTCATTTTAAAACACAAATAATAGTACTCAGTACATGGTGTTTCACTTGCACTACCAAATGGGGGATAATTTTATAGCTGTATTAATTAGCACCCTCATATTAATAGTTGCATATTATTCTACTGTAGTCTACTTGATACAAATAGCCATTTGACTGATACTTAAGTTGTTCCCGATCTTTTATTGTAATGAAAAACCCAAAGTATCTCATACCTGTAGGAGCTGGCTGTTTCCCAGAAGCAGAATTACTTGACCAAGGGTTGAAGGGTAATGCAATTTTAGCTTTCACAAATACAGAATGATTGTCTTCCCCATTATACACTAAAACTTCCATCAACAGGTGACTGCTTATTTTCTCATACTTTTTTGTATGTTTTCTAATTTCTGATCTGTATCATTTAAAGGTTAAAATGACATATCATACATTTTTGACAGTGCTTGGAATTGAACCCAGGGCCTTGTGCATGCCAGGCAAGTGTTTCACTAATTGAGCCTCTCATTGTAATTTTTTTAAAAATTACGTTTAGTTGTGGTAAAAAATACACACAAAATTGACTAGACTGATCATTTCCAAATGTGCAGTGGCATGTAATAGACTCACATTGTGTAATCACCAACACCATTATCTTCTGAAGTCTTTTCATTTTGCAAGATGGAAACTCTGGAGTCAGTAAACAGTGATTGTCCCATCTGTCACCCTCTCAAAGAGCACCTTCTGCCTCCATGGATCTGACTTCTTTAGAGTGACTGGAATCTTACACTATTTAGCCTCTGTGGAGGATTTGCTTCACTTAGCGCGGTGCCGTAGGGGCCCCTCCATCAGGGCCCATCTGTACTGTTGCACCTGCCAGAGTCTCCATCTTCTAAAGATGCTCACCCTGCGCCTAGCTTATCTGCTCATCTGCAGGTGGCCGCTTGAACCACGTTCACCTTCTGAGTACCGTGAAGGACGCTGCTGTGAACGTGGCCATACAAACTTCTCCCCCGTTTTCTGCTCTCACTTCTTCAGACGCAAACCGAGAAGTGGAAGAGGAGGTCATATGGAACTTCTATTTTAAACTCCCCGAGGAACCGCTGTACACCAGTAGTTCTTTACATTCCCATCGAAGGCACACAGTGGCTGATTTCTCCACATCCTTGCCAACACTTTTCTGACTTGGTTTTCAAAGTCTAAGCCATCCTTATGGCTGTGAGGTGATTTCCACTGTCATTTCAAAACACAATTTTCTCAAGAATCTGAGTATCTTGTCAAATGACTAAGACTTTCACATTTCTTATTCCATGTACTCGTCACACATTATTATTATTATTATTATTATTATTATTATTATTAATATTTGCCCTGTTTTGAGTCTGGCTTTCTTTTGTTGAACTGTAGGAGCTTTTTTACATATATATATATATATATATATATATATATATATATATATATTACATATATAGAAAGCTAGCAGTTTGTGATAATGTTACAAGTAAGTTCAGTTGCTAAAATATTAGATGTTCGATGTATGAACCAATGTCTGGTGTCCAGTAACTTTCTTCTCTCCTTCTCTCTCACTCCCATCTGCCCCTCCCCCATCCACTCTTCTCTGTTTCTGTTCAGAAAGCGGCTGGCCTCCCATGGGTGTCAACAAAGCATGGCGTACTAAGTTGAGGCAGGTCTAAGCTCCTCCCTTTGTATCAAGGCTGGGCGAGGCAACCCAGCATGGGGAACAGGTTTAGCATTGTCTGTTGAACTCAGGCTGTCATGGCACGAGGGCGGAGCCTGGGAACGCTTTTCCATCTTTTCACTCTAAGTCACTCAGCATCCTACTTAGCACAGCTCTGAAGGCTGGGGCCTCTTTAGGTCTGAATTCTTACCTAAATACAAGAGTCTGTTTTAGGACCTGAAAAATCGGTACGTTTAACCTACTCAAAGAAGTTTTCCCCACCCGACATGTCGAACAAACAGGGACACAAAATCAAATTATGCTTTTTTATAAACGAAACAGATTAGTTTAACTCAAATCATTGCATAAAACCATTACGGCAGTGGTTCTCAATTTGTGGGTCGCAACCCCTTTGGGGGTCAAATGACTCTTTCATGGGGTCACCTAAGATCATTGAAAATATCAGGTATTTATATTATGATTCTTAACAG